GTTCCGGCTTTAGTCAGCTTATTGGTTATTATGGTATGAGTTGGTTGGTTGAGCGCGCGAAAAAGGAAACAATATAATTGTAGAATTGCGCGTTTGTACGAAAATTTAGCGCTTCATTACAACGTCAATCCGGCATTTGTTTAGCAACAAACACAACATAATTGATACACATGAATATCTCCCATTGGCGATTGTTGCGCGGAGAAAGACAGCTTTGAATGCGCATATTAGTGCTGCTAATAGGTTAGGAGCAGTAAGCACATGCTTATGACGTTCATTATTTATTTCTTTATCGAAGTAGTGATATAGAGTTATTACATAATATCTGAAAAGAAAACTTCGACGTTTTTACTACAGAAATATGAAATAAAATAATAATAAAAAAATCAAAATACATTTTTTTTATTGCAACTATGAATGCAGTTAGTTGTTATTGGTAGTCCTTTGTTACGCTTTACGCTTATTTGCCAAACAGTTTGTACAACTTTAATAGCTGTAAATTACAAATCAATTCGTTGTGGCAAGTAGCGAAGCCACAACGCCTGTCACGCTGTTACCTTACCAGTTGTCAGCAAGAATGTTGCTGCCAATAAATGTTGCCACTTACTTAACACATATCTACACTACAAAAAACGCACACACACACATATACATACATGTATACATATGCGCTTGCAAACGTTCCGATAAGGCCAATTGTGATGTCCTTGATCAGATGTGTTAATGATATTATCAGTGTATCGTTATGTGTGTGTGCGTGTTGGCCTTTCCTTCCACCACATTTACTATGACAAATTAGCACAGCGAGCCCTGCTCCTCGTATTGACACATTCACATCCACAGTTTACCACATACCAAGCAATGTTGACATCGGTTAACCGAAGACCGACCACTATTCGGCTGTGCAGCGGTATAAATTGAACGGTGCGCTTGAAGTTTTCCAAATTTGAATTTATGCAGCAATTTAGTTGCAGCATGTGGTAGGTGATGTTGGGATATGTGTATGGATTTCGTAGCCAATGCAACCTTGAGGAGGACACTGTGACTAGAAACTTATACTCGTACATATACATATTCTGTTGCTATTGAAACTGAGAAATTTCGGTTGACACGGTAGTATTTGATTTTATCAAAAAAGTTTTCATATTGATATTGCTATTGTAGAACTACTTAATATTGACAATATAAAATTTCATTTGTCCTACATGTGTGATAGAGCGTCACCTTATCATAAGTTTTGAGGTTGACGCGCAAATCAATACGTTTTTGAGGCAATAAACCGACAACTACAAACACCTAACCAATTTTAAGAAAAGGTTTTCCTTCTCCAAAATTGACTTGATTTTGGATTTGTAATCCGTCCCTATTTGAGTCTGTATTTTTTGATCTTACTTAAACCTTCTTAGCCATTTAGTTCTAAACTTTCGTATACGACACATTTTCGACACAAACAATATTTACACACATTATATGTATGTACTATAAGTATAATTTTTCCAGTTCCATGTCGTTTCTAAAAATTTAGTAAGCGAAGTCGTCCCTTTTACGAAAGAATATTACTGATGGGCTTAAGGATCCTGACACTTGGCGGCAGTGTGTTAGAAATGTCTAATGAGGTCAAATATCTAGTTCCCACATTAGACTCTACCTTACGATGGAATAGGCATGTGAAACTAATACTGTCTAAAGCAACAAAAACACTCATGGTATGCTATATACCATGATCGATTATTACATATAAAGCGATTGCTTGGGCATCGAAGGCAATGCAGATTTCCATAGGACTTCCACTCTCGAAGCGTCTGCGCCTCTGTGACAATGCGCACATGCCCAAACGCAGCACTCGAAGTAATGCTAAAGCTCACATCCTTTTATAAAGTAATTAATCAGACAGCAAAGCATATATGTACATACCATGCTACTCTTGGCAGCATGATTTGGTTCGCCAGCATTGTACAGTACTTTATTATCCAATATGTAAAGCAAAGTTATTACCAAAACCACATAAGTATGTTTTCAGCATAATTTTCAAAATGTCGGCACTTTGTTACTCTTTCAGAAAGATTGATGAAAAGGTTTCAGTTTGGTAACGAATAAAAAAAATGCACTTGCATTACAATAATTACTTAATATAAATATGTATTTACTTTTTATATTCACTTATTACCATTCCTCTGGTCACATTAATTTTTCATAGGTCTGTTCGCATTCCTTGTTCTTTTGTGTTTTACAATTTCCGCGGTGGCGTCAAAGTTAATAGAAATCATTCCTGATTATTAATTGAGTTTACTCGATACACTCGTAAGAGTCTTTGCTTACTATAGGTACGCGTCTCTGCTTAAGATGTGGAGTATATCGGTTCCCTATAGCAATTGTTTCCTTTATTCCGATCTTTTTTTTATTTTATTTTTTTTAACTGGAAACCACACAATAGACCAGTTGTTGCGTGAAATTTTGTAATTAATCAAATTCACACGCTTCGTCATTCTAAAACGTTAACCACTGACCTAATGAATGGTTACGAAGTGGTAGGTGGAAAGCGTGAAAAGGATATGCGTGAAGCTACGCACCTTTAACTTGCACAAATACTTTAGTATGTATGTATGTATTCGTGTATGCAAATATGTGTTATTGTAAGAAATATGCATATTACGCATGTAATCACACATAACTAATGCAACCGGATGTAGTTCTCTTGATTATATTTACACGAAGTGTTATTGTTAGTTTTGATTACGGACAACCTCTCTCTCTCTCGACAATGTCTTGTGGCTGTTAGTCCGATTTTCGGATATTTTTTTAAGTCCCATCACATAAGGCTTTTAAAATGTTATAATCGGTAGTCCATTGACCCTTCAATATTTAATTATACTCTAGCTGTCAGTTTTCAGGTCTCATGTTTTCGTAAAACACACTCTTCGTGTATTTTCTGTTTCAAATGGAGCTTTTAGTTTTGGTGACGTCTTTTTTCGCTGATGGATTTTTCCAAGTTTTCAACGTCGTCTTTAAAATAGAGTCCTGAATAGAAGGATGTCAACGTTTAATCCAATTACCTATACACTTGTTATAAGCCTCAGCTGGGATAGTCTTCAGCGAATTTTTGTGTTTTTCGGTTTCGGCTCATTTTTGGAGCGCTAATCGTTGGATTATTATACAGTTTCACATCATATTTGAAAACCCATCTGTTGTCACCAGTAATTATGTGTTTGAAGAATGTAGGTACCTTAGCACATTTTTTGAGACCACTGCTCGACGTCGTTTTTCATTCTGTTCAGGATTCATATTTCTGTTACTTATTTCTTTCAAAATGAGGCCGGCATGATGTTACCATCAATAGCGAACGTAATAACATGATGTTGATCAACTTTATTTTCCGGAATTAGATGAAAACGACGCGAACGATCTTTATTTCCAACAAGACGATGCGCCGTCTCATGTTTCACGTCTAAACATGGATACATTGCGTGCAAAGTTTGGCGACTCGTTAATTTCGAGAAATGGCCCAACCAAATGGCAGCCAACATCATGCGTTTTAACGCCTATAGATTATTTTCTCTAGGGGTTTCAGTGCACTATATGTATATTTCAGATTTCCAGCACTGGGTTACCGAAAATTAATAAGTTTGAGATATTCAAACGTATCCATGGTGGCCATTTGGCCGTCATTTTGTTTCATTCATACATGGCATAAAATTATCTGCATAACAAAAAAAAAGAACCAGAACCCATTTTGAGTGTTTGATTTTATTGTAACATCACTTCATGTTTGCTGGTAGACCCAACTGACTGATAAAATTAAGATAACAGACCTTAATGAAAGATCTTTTTTTTCCTCATTGAGTAACCTTAGGTTGACTTGAAGGTGAGCAAACAAAGTGGTTAGAAAGAAGGAGCAAGACGTTTTCGGATGACTGCAAAATGCTGGCCGGTTACGTTTTCAAATTTAGTTATATGTACTTAAGGTATAATTGCTATAATAAGTGCTTCTGTGAAGTGTATTATAGCTTCGCTTCCCTGATCGTTTAATCGGAGGATCGAGCAAGAGGTGCCTACTTAGATATGCGCTAAGTCTATTCAGCTACGCCAATATTTATTATAGGGAAGAAAAGTAGACACATGAGTAGTAAAATTATTCGTTAATTATGTATAATTTAATTAAGTACTAAGTCCAAAAAATAGAGAAATTGTTAATTTGTTAAAACTATTTTTGCTTTCTATTAGTCTCATATATAATATTTTTAAACATATACGTATATATTCGCTGCCTGTAATTATGCACATAATTGCATTATAGCGTATTTTAAAACTAATGTTATAGTAATTTTTTCCTCACACTTTTTTTTTGAAATAATATTAGCGGCAAACGCTTATCGATCATGCCATTCGAGGCGGTAATTTTGTGGGGCCATTATTTGCAGCCTAATTTGAACAAATCGTCAAAAATAGGTACCTCTGCATAAGAAATTTGCTCAAACAACGTGTTAATGATTTATGCGTGTGTAATATATATAGCTATGTATAAATGCCTTGTATATACGAACATATATATGCATGTATATATAATATTTGAATACACAAATACCTCAAAAACGCCCACTTAATATTATTGTATTAAACATTGCGGCTTTGTGCTGTGGTTCACCGACTCATAAAACAAACACTAAATAAACCTCGTGTATATTTCAAAATAGTAGAAACAGAGATGGAAAATTTTTTCACGCCTGTGATTGGCTGGCTATAACTAGTTGCGCTCGAAAAACTAGCTCAAATTTGTATTTTTTTTTTTAATTTTTGTTGTTGTTATTGGTATTTTCTACATTTACCTGCTCCTTGAGTGTACCTACTACAATTTGACAGCGATGGCGGGCATCTTGTAGAAATATACCAACAACAACATTCGTTTATTCAACGCCGGTTTTATGTGTAGTTGTTGTAACCTATACACACAACATATGTATACGCTTGCCTCAAATTGAGCACTCCAGAAACCTGCACGAAGAGTCGACGATCTTGACATAAGATCGACAAGTTAGTCAGTTATGAAGTTGCTACGAAACAGGCAGCACAACATACGCAACAAATTATTTCCGTTTCGTCAGTTTTTAATAGTTATTCGCCTGTCAAACCAATAAAGTGTTGTGTTCTATTAAGTTTATTTGTGTAAATGGCAAACAAAAAAAAACAATAAACTAACGGTATTTAAATAATAGTAAAACAAAGTGTACATATGTGTGTTGTACTTAACGCACATATTAAAGTTTAATTATATTATAAGCAGTAATTTATTTAAATATAAGTGAAAAAAAAACTTTGAAAATTTTGAAAAAGTGGTGTAATTATTAGATTACAATAATACCCACTACTAAAGTTTTAATAAAAAAAAAAAAACTCATAAATTTTACTTGGAGCTGAGAAACGATGACAGTAACTGCATTTGCGGCCGCAATGCACAGACCCTTTTTCAATGGATACGCCACTATGCAAGGTAAGTGTCAATAAAGTTGGCCACTCAAAGATTTCATCGTTCAAAAAAAAAAAAATTGAGAAATTCGCAAATAAGAATATAAGCATTGTGTGTGCGTATAAATAAAAAATGTAAATAAATTTGTTAAAAAAAGGGTAAACCTAAAACGGCGATTAGCAATTTTTACTTTAATTTACAACAAATTGATTATAAAAATACTTAAATTTTTTTTCTTATTGTTACTTTTTTTTTTGAATGAGCAGTACACTTATGGATTTAATTTTTTTCGAAATATTTTTTTTTTCATTTTTTTAAGCATCAAATTTAAATTATGAAATAATAAAGTTCTTATTTTTTTATACGATATTTTATAGTACATGATTACAATTTAATTAAAAATAACGGTTTAATTTATTTTATTATTTGACTTGAGTTTTAATTAATTTAGTTATTATGTTATGATACGCACATATGGCAACACCAAAGAAAATCATGTTTACTTTTATTATTATTATACTTAATCAGAATCCTTCTAAAAAAAGCTTTACACAGATCATAACAGAGTTCTGCATATTTAAGGTGTGCCTGTAACTAATATAGAGTTTGGGAAACACTGCTACAATTCATAGCACAATATCTCATCCTCTCTTAAACTTTCTAAAACATAAACTACACTTAAAATCATTTCCTACTGCGTTCACTAAGTAAAATTTAACAGTTCGACATTTAGCACAGCTATACACTAACATATACTATCTTACATGCCACTTCGCCTATTAACACCATTAACAGTCACAGTTGGTAGTATGTTGCAGACAATCGTGTGACCTTGCGCTGTTCAATGTTATTGCCCGTGTAACTTCCGTAGAAGTCAATTGTTGTCATTCGTTTTGTTTACATATGGAAAAGCAAAAACATTTGACATTTTTCAACGATGGGTAAACTGACAGATTGCTTACTAATAAAGAACATTAAATGAAGAGAAATAATTTTTAAACGCCAAAGTCATATGGTTAGTGCTGAGTGTAGGCGCGTGCGTGCACGTCGCTACTAAAAGACCGCTTGAAATTCCATTTTACCTGAACTTAGCACTATTTGTTTAATATGCAGTTGTAGGCGCATCTCTTAGGGTTCCTGCCGCGTTCCGCGCAATTGGAAAATTAGTTTTTATTACACACTGAGTTATTGTGAGTATGGATGATGTGTATATTTCAGAGTTTTAGACATTATGCGCACACACATGCATATAGTTTTCCAAAATTGGTTTAAAATCTTTATAACTTATTATATGCGTATACATGACTATTTCGAGAGTGGCACAACTTAACATTTGACTGTTTTGCTTTTGTAGATGCGGGACAAGGACGCGTCAATCAATTGGGTGGTGTGTTCATAAATGGTCGCCCCTTGCCGAATAATATACGCTTGAAGATCGTCGAAATGGCCGCCGAGGGTATACGCCCTTGTGTAATATCCCGTCAGTTGCGCGTATCACATGGTTGCGTTTCGAAGATTCTCAATCGCTATCAGGAGACCGGCTCCATACGTCCGGGTGTTATTGGTGGTTCTAAGCCACGCATTGCGACACCAGAAATTGAGAATCGCATTGAGGACTACAAACGTCAAAATCCAAGTATTTTCTCTTGGGAGATAAGAGATAAATTAATACGTGATGGTATTTGTGATCGCACTACAGCACCGTCTGTTTCGGCGATTTCGCGATTGGTACGCGGACGTGATGCGCCCGGCGATGATGATGGACAGAAAACACAATCCGGCTCAGAACATTCGCACAAGCTCTCCGATGAGGAGGCATCGGATTGCGAGAGCGAGCCTGGAATAGCGCTGAAACGTAAACAGCGTCGCAGTCGCACCACTTTCACAGCTATGCAATTGGAAGAGTTGGAACGGGCCTTTGAGCGCACGCAATATCCAGATATTTATACGCGTGAGGAATTGGCGCAACGTACTAATCTCTCAGAGGCACGCATACAGGTGTGGTTCAGCAATAGACGTGCACGTCTGCGTAAGCAAAACACTAATGGACCTTCGCCAGGCAGCAATGTTAACGCCATGACAGGCAGTTATGTGCCGCACCAGCTGCCACCAGTTGCTGCTGCCGCAGCGGCGGCGAATAACTATGCTGCAGCGGCTGCTGCTGCTGGCATGTTGCCGTCGGTTTCGTCCGAAGCCACAGCAATGGCTGCTGCATATCAACAACAAGTCTATGATTTCTATGCTGGACACCCCACGGCACCAGTGGCGAATCTATCATCGAGTACTATTGTACCGGGCACCGCTTCCATGACGCCACCGCATCAATATTACGGTTCCGCTTCCAACTATAATTTTGCCTCGCATAATCTACTCGGTAACAGTTCGAATGCAGCAACATCAAGTGGTACTGATGTTGGAGCAACGTTACAGTCTCAATATCAAGCGATCTCACCGCTGATGCGCTCAAACAGCAATAATAACAATAACAACATGAGCTCATGCCAAAGTAGCAACAATCATAATCTCAATTACGCAACAGAAACCGCGACAGATTCCAATCAGCTGATGACACGTGATGAAAGTCCCAATGCATCGGTGTCACCAGCATTCGGCACTACTGCTAATAACAGTGGCATACAATTACCACCCACACCCAATAGTTTAACTGCCGTTATTGGCAATGAATCGCATGTGAGCGGCAATACTATTGGCGCAACGAGTGGCGCGCATGCGGCTGAAGAATTGCAAAGTGCTTTGAAGACAGAACCACAACAAATGCAACAACTATACGGTAGCTGGAATGCATCAATGGCACAGCAACAAACAACATCAAATGTCAATATCTCTTCCACACGACCCACAGCACCACTCTCGCCGGAGGACTCGCTAAACTCGAGTTCGTCACAAATGCCCGAGTCGGCGGCGGCGGCGCATATGATGTTCCAACATCAGCGTGATTTTACGCACAATCATTCCCAGTATGCACCACCAACGGCATCATCCTTCCACACGCATGCGCATCATCATGCTGCTGCTGCCGCACAATATGCCTCGTCGCATTTGGGTTTCCATCACAGCCCGGCGGCGGCTAACATCAGTTCCACAACAAATGGCGGTTCGTCTCACTTTATGCAACAGAATTTCGGTAGTGCAGGTTTTAACTCCTCACCGAAAATGAATTATCCCACAGTGCCACAGCCATTCTATCATTCCTGGTACTAAGCTGGACTTCGGGGATCTTTACTTTGTATATACTTATTATACTAATTTGTAAATGTTATGTAACATATTTTATTTTATTTTATTTTAGTACTTGAGTTCAGGTGTTATAAAATGAGGCTTTTGTTTTAATCAGTTATTTTAATAATATAGTGTATACATACATATTTATCTACCTAAGTGAACTAAGTGAGGCGCTGCTTATATTACAAGTAGAATATTAATATCGTTCCAAATTTATCTTTGAAATAAAATAATTTGCCATTGTTTTAAGAATAATGAATTCTAGTTTTAGTTTTTAAGAAAATTATGCTTTAAATTTAAAAATTTTACAGTGTTGTGTAATCAATTTTACTTTTTATTTAAGCATAATAAAAAAATTAATTAAAAAACGAAAACCTTATGAATATACCACATTTGCTTTATTATTGTACAATATTATACTACATATTAAATATTATTAACATTTAGTAATTTTTAGTTAAAAATTATTATAATAAATATAATAGTATATTGTTAAGTTATTGGACAATCAATTGCAATAACTATGAGAAGAGTCGAACATTTCAGCTTTGGAACTGTTTTGTTTATATGAAACTATTATAAACGGAAGTAGTATTAATAAAAAATCGAAAATTTTATTTTTTTGCATTTTTTCTGCATATTTATTTTTTTCCTGCAAAAAATGCGTCAAGTCTGGGTGCAGTCCACGTTCGGACACAAAGGAACATATGACTAATGGCATTTTTGATATTTTTATATGTAACGAGCTAATCACTTTTGTTTGAGCAAGTCTTATGAAGAGAGAAATGAGTTTAATCATTAAAAATCGTACAAAATTTTAATTTATTTTATATGACAGCGTTGAAGACAAATGGTGACCAACATGGTCGCCAACTATAAGCTCAAAATATTTAATACGTAATTTTATTCTATATATAATATATATGGACTAATTTATTCCCAATTGCACCATACAGAAATTAATCACAATTTTTCCAGGGTTATTATAATGGTGTTTCTTCTCTATTTCAGTGAGAAGAAAGCCTTCGCTTACAGTTAGGCAGCGTTTTCTTGTTTAACTCTCTTAGAATGGACTTAAAATATGTTGATTGTATACCTACTAGTTGCATCTCTTTTTTATTGGTATTGGTAACAATAAATTTTCTAAGTATCTATACACAATGTGATTAGAGCTTAGAACGAGGGAATTATTGATCGTAAACATAATAGTATGTACTAAGCTAAAATACATTTTTGATATGTTTCGAAATGAGAATTTCTCGATTTTGTTCTTAAGGGGCACACTTAGTGTGACATACTAAAAAAAAACGACTGTATCAATTGTTTTAAAATTTTAAGAGTATATTTATACATACTTTAAAAATATACAGTAAATTTTTTTAAGATCAAAATTGAAAATATATTCGGTTACACGCGATCTCTGACGTCGCTAAAAAAGTTTTCTCTACTTTTGCAGTTGTTACGGGTTTTTCGGCGAATAAAACATAAAACAAGAAAAAAACAATAACTTCTATAATACCCTTCACAAATACAAAAGGTTCCTTGCAAGAACTTGATTCTGTTCGAACAATCTGTATGGTAGCTATATGCTATAGTGATCCGATCTGAAAAATTCCTGCGGATATTGCATTATTGCCTTATGAGCAGCTTCTTGGTGGTGGGGTGCAAATTTCTGATTGCTATCTCAAAAACTGAAGGACTGGTTTGCATATATACGGACGGACAGACAGATATGGCTAAATCGACTCAGCTCGTCACACTGATTATTTATATATACACGTTGTAGGGTCTCTGACCTTTCCTTTTGCGTGCAACAAACATCGTGGAAAGTTTAATATACCCTGTTCAAGTTACACGGTCGTATAAAAATGGACAAAAATGGTGGTTATTTTAGCCAAAATTTTGATAATTTTTGGCCTGCCAAAATTCGATTTTTTATTAGATAAAAAAAATGGTAGATTATTGCATGGGGAACTATATACACAATATAGGTATAGAATAAGTTCATAGTGATCGGTTCATTTGTCTCCGATTAGTCAAGCAAGTAAATTCGATAAATGCTGTTTTGAGAAAAAAACACTTTTAAAGATAAACTGATTAAGCTGATTAAACTGAACAGTTACATTTTAGAAGACTGTAACTCAAAAACTATATGAGATTTAAAATCTTTGTTTATTATTTTCAAAACTATAATCTATCGAAATGTACAACAAAAATTTTTTTTTAATATTATACTAGGTGTACACCTTAATTTTAGATAAATACTCAAGTTAATCAATTAAGTTGCATACGCCAAAATCAATGGTGGGTGACAATACATATGTAATTATAATAATTTCTTATATATATATTACATGAATGTCGTTATTAAGCTTTTAAAAAATTTCACTGTAAAACTAATTGATTATTATTAATTTATGTTTTTCTTAATTTTATTTTGCAGATGCTGCTGTAAATTAGTTCGCAGTGAGTCATGAATTAAACAAAACATATTTTTCTTAAAATTATTATTTCTTGTAGTCATAGGTACTCTCTGTTACATACATGTTTTTTTTTTTGGAATTCCTTCACTTTACGTACTCAATGACATACACTTATATTTGTATTTTCAGCTTAAACTCTCGGTAAGCTAAAAGGTAATTAATTAATATAATTTGTTGCCGTATTTAGATTGAGAGCTATTAAATTTATTTTCGTCAATGTTACGCAGATTTATGGCTGTTATAAGCGTCAAAGAAGGCATAAAAAATACCAAAATGTGTGAACTTTGTAATTTTCACGCTATTCATTGATATAATTTCGATATACATACCTATAAATATATATGTACATATATGCATATATTGTAATTGATTGATTCATTATCTGCTAATTGGGCAATTCTAAATGTTCACACTTGTTAACAGCATTCAACAAATAGTTCTACAAAACGATCTTTTTGCTGAAATATCGAAAGTTGTGCTGATTTATATCTACAATGACCTTTTCATGATTTCATTACTTTTCCAGTGAAGAAATAATTCGTCTAAACGATTTTACGCTTAAGCAGAATTAGCACTTAACATTCACTCACCACTTACCGTACAAGAGCGTTTTACACACGATCGGTGAGTACACTTGTGCACTAATCCACATTTGAGGACGACTTTTGATTTTTGGAAAAGATTTCCATTTTCACCACTTAAATAAATATTGACTTTATGGTTTTAGCTGGATAAGTTAGTTGACAGTGCAAATTTACTTATTCATTACAATTTTACATATCTTTTTTGGAATACTTATCTCTTCTCTATCCAATCTGGCGCCTAGAACTCTAGAGATCACAAAAGATGATCTACTTTGGCGTTTAGAGCATTTACAATAGGTGGGTTTATATTTCGTACGTTTTGCAAAGTTTGTAAATACAAAAGTTGCAAATCATACTTTTTCGCTACCGTTTCGACAATCCTTTGCACATAGTGGCTTCCAATATATACGTACATTCTTAGATGAAAATATTGAAATTAGAAAATGACACATGAACATAAGCGATCAGGATGCAGATATGAAAGGTGGTATATGTTGTACTCTGAACAGGCTATATTAAGTATGCCACGAAGTTTTTAACACTCAGAGGGAAGCGTTGTAGACCGTATAAAGTATATACATACATAAATGTATATATGTATGCATATAAATTATGAGCGTGATGAGCGGAGGCGATTTAGCCATGGCCGTTTGTCTGCATATACCCGAACAAGTACCTTAGTTTTTGAGATATCGATCTGAAATCTTCCCCATGTTCTTTTCTCCTCAAGAAACTGTTGATTTGTCAGAATTATCAGATATCGGACCAATATAGCTTATAGCTGCCATACCAACTGCACGATCAAAATCAAGTTCTTATATGGAAAACTTTTTTATTTGACAAGATATCTTCACGAAATTTGGCATGAATTATTGTCAAAAACAACGGTACAATCTAGTTAAACGTTTTTTCATGTTATACATACATGATATATATTTGGTACAAAAAAAAACACCTGTGAAGGTTTCAGTGTAGGCGAAGTTAATGTTTTTTCTTGTTTTATATACGATTATATGAAAGCTCTTATTTTTTATAAATAAATGTTATGTAAGCTCTTTAAGCGGTAGTGATTCAAATATAAGCTTAAAGCTTCGATAAAGTTGATTATTTCAACTACTGTCGTCGACGGTAAAAATTCTTTAATCATTCCATGGAATTGGTAAAGCTTAATTTTGGACTGTTTTTTCTTGTTTTATGTACGAATATATGAAAGCTCTTATTTTTTATTAATAAATGTTATGTAAGCTCTTTAAGCGGTAGTGATTCAAATATAAGCTTAAAGCTTTGATAAAGTTGATTATTTCAACTACTGTCGTCGTCGGTAAAAATTCTTTAATCACTCCATGGAATTGGTAAAGCTTAATTTTGGACTAGAGTTAGCATATTCTTGTGCAAACTTGAAGTCTAATATATTGAATTTTTCTTGCTTTACCGATTTTCCTAAAAAAAATTTTCCTAAAATTGATTTTTTGAGTTTAAGTAGTTGTTGTTATTAATGTGATTTATTTGTGATTCCTAGAAATGCCAATCAGATTTTTGGGACTTCTTAATATACCTTATATAATACTATGCAATAGAACTAATAAACATTTTATAACTTAAAAATGCGGACATTTATTTTCCATATAAGTTTAGGCAAGATTATTTTCCTTTGACACGGCTACGAAGTTATTGTACTATTTTTAAGGGTCCGTTATAATATCTTACAAAGAAGAATAACAATAATTCATTATGTCGGCGCATGTTGTTTTTCTCAGCCGAGTAAATGCTCATCTCCAACCGGTGAAAGTTTATTCATCGTAGAGTGTCAAGGAACTCTTAACTGCTGTTTCCAGTGTATGATCAGCTGACTGTATTGCACTATATTTCATAAAAACATACTTATTTCTAGCATATTTAATTTTCAAATAGTTCTTACACCGATTATAACCAATTAAGAGTTGCCAAAAATTTAACTATGTTTACTTATACATATGTTTTCGATTAGCTGTCAAGTTCTGCTGGAACTATACATTTATCTACAACTTACACAGTTTCTGCAGATAAAGTTTACTTCTGTTAATAGATTTCAAGTTATGAAACTATTTTATATCACAAACCAACAACATGTGTAAAGTGTATCGAAAAATATCATATTAATTGATAAATTTAAATAAATAATAGATTTTTGATCGTAATTCGAATTTTCCGTGGCAATAATTAAAAGCACATTTTCTGCAATTAAGTCCATGGCAGTTGCTAAGTATCCAACTGTTTTTCAAATTTCTATAATAACCTATTCGAATTTCAGATTTTCCTTATTATTGGACACTAGCTACTGGTGTTTCAAAAAAAAAAAAAAGAAAACTTATTTTTATTTTTGTAGACATTCGTATAGTATTTTTTATAGCTGAAATCGATTTGATAATTAATGATTTGGCAATTATACGTACATATGTACATATATAGTCAGCAATACAACATACTCGTATATACCATACACACTTCGCTAAAGCGGCTTTCGTAGATCGATGGTTTCGAGGTAGCAATGCACCCACTGAGAGC